TTTACCTTCGATTGCTATTAACAGTTGTTAAAGGACCGCGGTCTTTTGATTGTCTACGCACAATCAATGGTGTATTTTATGATAGCTTCAAATCAGCTTATGTAGCTATAGGGCTCTTGGAAGATGATGCAGATTGGGTACAATGCCTCCAAGAGGCTTCAACCATGAATACTGGATACCAATTACGGAGACTGTTCTGCATCATTCTGGTAGAATGCTCGCCAATATAGCCATGTACTTTGTGGGATCAATTCTATGTCCATATATGTGATGATCTTCGTCACAAGCTACAAACAACTTTTGGCATTTGCGATCCAACGCAGCCTCAGATCAAAGATTATGGTTTATATTTGATTGATCAGTTGCTACATGAATCTAGCAAAAAATTGGATGACTTCCCACCTATGCCACACTCCATTGAAAATTGGAGTAATGTTACAGGTAATAGATTGTTGATCGATCATATGCAACTACGAAATGAAGCAAATCAACTGAATAACCTTTTGAATATTGATGTTTTAAATAATGCTCAACGTACAGCTTACGATGCTATCACTATCTCCGTTGCTGAAAATTAGGGCAAACTTTTTTTCCTCAGTGAAGGTGCAGGAATAGGAAAAACCTTTTTGTACAACACCATCACAACTAAAATGCGCAGCGAAGGTTATATCGTCATTACAGTTGCTTCATCAGGAATTGCTTCGTTGTTGTTGTTAGGCAGTCGGACAGCTCATTCTACATTCTGCATTCCTTTCGATATCATAGAAAGCTTGGTATGTGGTTTCAGCAAACAGTCAGCGCATGGGGAATTATTTAGGGAGGCTCGCTTAATAATATGGGATGAGGTTCCCATGCAGCATCGACATGGTGTTGAAGCAGTTGATCGCACACTCCGTGATGTTTGTGATGATAACCGACCATTCGACGATATCACGATCGTGCTTGGTGGGGATTTTCGTCAAATACTACCGGTTATACCTAAGGGTGGGCGAGAACAAATTGTTAGTGCATCCTTAAGACGTTCTGCAATGTGGGCAAGTGTGTGCATATTGACTTTGAGCATAAACATACGTTTGAATAGTAATTATCCTGCAAATTCTTCTCACGCATCCTTTTTGGAAGAGGTGATTTATATTATAGATTTTTTTATATAAAACCGTCTAATTATTCTTTTACATGTACTGATATGTTTCACATCATACTTAGATTGAGATCAGTACGCAGGATACTGTTGAACTTCTACCAACGATACACAGGTGTCGAACTATGCATGAACTAATTTCTAGAGTTTATCCATAACTAGATGTGCTTGGTGCAGTAACCCCATCCTACTTAACTGAGCGCACAATTCTTTCTGCTCGGAATGATGATGTCTGCTCTATTAATGATGTTGCTCTACAAATTTACCCTGGCGAGACGTATACCTACTTGGCAGCTAACAAGGTGTCGGATGGTGACGAACTCTGTCGTTCTACCACTAATCAATATCCAAGTGAGTTTTTGAATTCCCTAAACCCGTCAGGTTTACCGCCTTTCAAGTTGGAGCTAAAGGTCGGGTGCCCCATCATTTTGTTGAGGAATATAGCCCCAAAAGATGGCCTCTGTAACGGGACCAAACTAATGGTTGTCAAGTGCGCATCGCGGGTTATTGAGGCTAGAATTCTAACTGGTGACAAATCTGGGAATTTGTGTTTCATCTCGCGGATATCATTATCACCGTCGTCTAAAGAATTACCATTTCAAATTACTAGACGCCAATTCCCAGTACGCTTAACATATGCTATGACAATCAATAAGTCGCAGGGCCAGTCAGTCAAGTTTGTTGGTGTAGATTTGCGCTTGCCTGTATTCAACCACGGTCACCTATATGTGGCCATGTCTAGAACCACGACAAATATTGTATATCCGGAGGTGTTGTTGAACTTGGTGTAAATATTACTACATTTTTTAATGTATTGCAACTTGCGTCAGCTCTAGGTTCATGACTTTTATTATAGTTTTAATAGTTTTTTCCACACATGTATGATGAAAATTTTTCAATGATTATATGTTTGTTTTTTGAATTCATGAGCATCTGTGTTCAATGATAATATTTTTTTTTTCAGTACATGGTTTATTTGAAGGATTATTTATTTATGATATTTATTCCCAATTTTTGATAGTTATTTGTCTACGAATAACTTTTTTCTTTGCATTAATGACGTGTTGAGGAATGAGTAATCCATCATCTCCAAATTTTTTTTTATATTCCTCCATCTTTCACTCTTCTCTCTCTATATTTATCCCTTTCTCACTCTGTTAGGCCATCTCCATCAACACCACTGATGAAACTATTGTCCAGATGTTAGGCCATCTCTATATTTCTCTGTTTCTCATGCAAAAACACAACACACGTAATACATGCACAAATACACATGCAACTGCAACCACTCAAACACTCGCACATCGAACTCACACACCACTATACTACCACCAATACAGATTTATGATTGAAATTATTAGACAAATGAACCGTTTGTTGAAATGCTACATAGAAATACTATGTGCTATTTCTCTCCTACATCACGCCCAATTCGATAGGAGTTCGATTAAACATGTCAACTTGGTACAGATTAAGAGCGGTCAAAGGACGGTAAAATGATGGGCCTTACTTTTGAATGAGTATGAATATTGAGCTTAAGATCTTATTTGAGCTTTGATTATTGAAAATCTTATTTTCTATTTTTCTTTCCTTAGGTGGATTGGTTTATGGAAGCGCACCTACAGGTTTGTGGAAGGTTATAAAGTTTGCCACTTTTTGCTTGGGTTGATTTACATATATAGAGGCATCTATAATAAAATGACGCTAAATTTGGTTTTAAGCATAGAAGGATATTATGAGATGACTTTATTGATTTAAAGTAGATATATGTTCTTCAAAATCTCGCCAACCTAATATTTGTTTTTTATTTTACTTGATGTTTCATCTTCGTGTTAACCAAAGTCTTGCTAAGTGAGATGATTTTCCACTAACCAACATCATTCGCATTTTTCATCTCATATTCTAGGAAACATAGTTGCTTATTTCTCTAAAATGTGTTTGTGGCACTTGCGACAAAATTTGAGACAGTGATTTAATTATCAATATNAAACATACTTGCTTATTTCTCTAAAATGTGTTTGTGGCACTTGCGACAAAATTTGGGACAGTAATATAATTATTAATTTTATGTTGAATCCAACTAACGATAAAAGTAAGGGGTCTTATGTTTCAGATTTGCAAATGTTTTATTTTGCCTCACATATCTCAAATATTTTCAGGTATACATGAAAGGATATGAAGATGAAATTGAACGTGTTTCTATATTTGTGCATGAATGTATTTTTTGTATTCTGTTTTTGGTAGAGTTAACTAATTATACATGGTTATGATGATTTTGTTTTGGTGGTTTGGATAAATATGGTTATGATAATTGTGGTCATATGTATAATTGTAAGTATTTTAGGCAAGTTTAGATTTTTTTGAGCTTCTATTTTTAAAGGAAACTCTGTCCAAATTTTTTGAAATTAGTATGGATTAGCTTGATGTTTTGATGGTTGGATGTGTTGATGATTGAGTCTGTATTGATTATTGTGGTCGTATGAGAAATTATGATAATTGTTATGTACGTAAGTTCTGTAAACTTGTTTAAATTTTTATGATTTCTTATTTTTAGAGAAAATTATGTCAAAATCTCTGGATATTAGTATGAACTATTTTGATTTCAAATTGACAGGTTATTTTAAGTTGCAAATAGTCTTTAAGTGATATAAGATTTTTTGAATTTTAGGTTACATGAGATTATCTTGATTTCATTACACCGTGCCTTTAGACACGAATAATTACTAATTTAATAATAACACCGATCAAAAAGAGTCATCTCAATAACAGTCACCTCAATAAAATGTCTGATATAATAAAAAAATGACACGTTAGTCAAACAAGCTAACTCGGTTAACGGAGTTAACATATTTATTTTCTCTTTCTTTCAATTTTTCTCTCTCCACCGCATGCCTATCACTTCAGCCGATTTCATTCCTTGGAAGTTGTTCCCATCACGTTAGTCCTTCATTGCTGCCATAGAAGATTTCCTCCCTTAGAATTTGTTTACTACTTTTCAATCTTTACACTCCCTGTCTCTCTAAGTTCATCTTCCTCCTTTCAAACATGTTTCACTAAAAACCATTTTTTTTGGCAAGTAAAATTTACACAGGTGCTGATAAAAAAAAAAATTCACAGGTAATTTTTTCTCCAATTTTACATTTGAATGCTACCTTTTGTGGGTGGTGTTTAATGTGTCGGTTTTGGCCTTGGAGGTGTTGTGCTTGTGCATGTGTAGTGGTTGTGTGTCTTGTGTGCTGCCATGTGGGTGTTGTGTGCAATGTACATATATAGTGATTGTGTGGGTTAATGTATGTGTGTCGTGTAGAGATACGGAAAAGATAAATTATTTTTTTTATTTAAAAAATTTAGTCGATCAATTTTATTATGACCTTAATTCTAATTGTTATTTTTATCTTTTAACAATTATTTATTAAAATTTCAACAATGTCGTCAAGCAAAGGAAAATAAATTATACAATTAAGTATGTGTAATTTAAATTTTGTTTTGAGATATTTAAAATTTATTTTTGATTGCTATTATTTTTTTTTTTTACAAATTGGTATGCATGGTATGTAGTGATAGTGATGGTGATAAATATTATATACACAACTAAAATAGTGTCTTTTATTATTTTTAAATATGTGTAGATCAAAGTGGTGATGATGATGATTATGACAATGTTGAAGAGAACTATGTTTACAGTAATATTGATGTCCCAATTGGTGCGTTAAGTAACTAAAATAATGAATTTGAATTAAAAGTTGGCATGGTTGAATATAGTGAAGAAGCTTTTAATATTTATAACAAATTTGTAAAAGTGTAAACAAACAAAATAGATCCAATAAATAACTTGCGTAAAATCATCTAAAAAATTTCATTAACATAAGCGCTTATACAATAAGTGGTTGTGGAGCCCTTTTCCGTGCAAGAAAGGAGGCAGGACTCCAGTATGTAAAGGGTGATCTCCATTGTTCCATGCCATAAGCATCCTCGGTTCACAACGTTTCCACTGCCAAGTTTGAGCAAGTATGTCCTGCAACTAATGGAAAGGAGTATAATTTTAGTGCAAGTTGTCCCATTGCTCGTCCAATCAAAACTCTATATTTGGTTCCTTCATACCTCTATGTTTCTGACCATTGCACCGTCATCTGCCTGCCAATGTTTCCCATCTGCATCCAAGTGAAATGGGAAGTCGAAAACATAACGTGATGAAGAAACAAGGAGCCAGTCATGATCAAGTTTGTAAGTATGATTCAAAATGGAAATGACCTCCGGCAAAACAATGGTTTCTGGATCGATCATAACAGATATATCTGAGGTGCAAGCTTGTGCTCTTGCAACCATTGAATGAAAGAAGGGGGTATTCAAGAACCTAAACAGAAGAAGACACAGGAAATTTAGCAAAGTCAAACCAGCAACCATACAGTCACAATTAACCATAGTATATGGCACTTATTCAAATTTATTAATCACTCTCTATTGTTCCCTCGTTCTAAATTTTCTTTTAGTTCTGGACTTTCTTACATGTCCCCTGTATATTATCATTTGATACTACAACTAGTCCAAGTTACGATCATTTTCACCCCGCTTATCAATTTATAAACTTATTAGTCTCACTGAATATTTCTTGGGTGTCAATTCAGCCTGATCATAATAAGGAACATTCATTAGTCCTTTACTTATTTAGGACTTTTCTCAGCATGAAGAACTTTTCTCATTTGCATACATAGCCAGCTATTTACTATAAGTTAACTGCATAATCTAGCTCTTATTTTCAGAATATAGCCTTTGGATCTTCAAATCTAAGAAGACAAATTAAAACTTTGGGAACAAGTCATCACAGCACGTGGGAGTTGTGGGAGTTTTGCAAGTTAATTTTTCTTTTACACATTCTCGATTCCAAATCTAGTAACTACAGTCTGCAAAGAATTTTCCTTTGGCTTTTGCAACTATCAAGTGTTGATCATAATTTAATTTTTGAACTAAAAAAGTACAGAAAAACGGAATAAAAAAAACACGAAAGTCCCACTATAATATGTCAAATCATGTAAAGATCCCAATTATCGAAATAAATGGAAGATGGTTTGCTAAGAAATTGAAAAAAAACGCTGAAGAGGCTTACGTAAAATCGATATTAGCTTCAACAGAAACCCGAGAACCAAATTCTCCTACAAAAGAGAAAACAGAGGGGTCTTGGCTAAACAAAACAATAGTAATATCTGGAGATAAACCAAGCCATGATCTCATAGCTACAACCTACCTTGCCCCAACTGAACCAGTAAAAGGGCTTGGAGCTGAAAATATAGTAATTGTGGGACCGCCCCTATTGCCAGAGCCATTGTCGAAAAGTTTGGGCATTTTTATGATCTGATCTTTAAGGGCAGAAGACAATAACTGAGTAGCACAGAAGGAGATAACAATCAAGATAAACCCGCATAGCCAAACTAACCACAGCCCAATTTGAAAGCCCTGTAAATGAAAAATCCTAGCTCAAGAACAAGGTCTACATAGAAAACATACATGTATAAGACTGAATATGTAATCAAGGGTTTAATAAATCTGACCTTTTTGCTGTAGTAAAGAGAAGAGAAAAAAGAACGCACTTTCATTGTTGCTACCATTGTTGTCGTTTAGCAGTTGCTGAGGAGAAGACTGAAATGGAATGTGGTTTGATTTGATTTTGTGAATCGGGTAGGAAAAGAGGGAGAGAGAGGGCAGAACAAACCCATCAACTCATGAAATTAGTGGCGATGGTTCAAAATTTGAAATTTTTATTATTATTGATGAAATGGAAAAGCTATAAAAAAAAGGGAAAAAATTGACATGACATATCACAATAGAGAGAGAAAACGGGAAAAAAGACAGACATTAAGAAATAACTTTATTTCGCTGACTTGGCACTTATCTAACACTGCCTGACAAATTATTGAGGTGGCATCTTGATCGGTGCTGGGTACCGGCTGTCAATAACAGCCTGGTTACAGAATATTTACTCTCAAGATATGGGCTCAGTCTCTTAATTGCACTGTGGTGTTTTCCGAGGCATCTGATTTCAATTACATATGCCATTTTTATTTATTTCAGAGGAAGATACATTATTTTGGACAAGAGATGTTGGAAAACTAGGAATTGCATAACATGATTTCATTTAGGGTATTTTGGATGTAGCTATAATTTTTTAGACTTATTTGAGTAAAAATGTATAAATAAGTTGTTTACTCTACCAATTACAATTTTTATAAAAAATTTTGTGTTTAGGTACAAAATTCAAATGAATAAAATTTTTTTTTACCTAAACACCTTCTCTTAAATTATGCAGTCATCATTGACAGTTATTTGATAAAATAAATATGTAAAGATTAAAAATAATAATGAGAGGTAAAATAAGGGCATTAATGATCAAAACCCTTCTACTTTGGAAATAGGATTTTATGGCAATGGAATTTGATTAGAATGTCACAAATTATATAGGAATAAACACTGAGTTTTCTCAAAAGAAAAAAAATAAAGAGAACTGGCCAAGATATTTTGTTAGATATTATGTATTGTTTGTTATTGGGATGTAGCGAAAAAAGATTATTTTTTTATTTTTTTTAATGGGTGTAACTGTTTTTTAATAGGTGTAAATATTTTTTAAATAAGTGTAACTGTTTTTTAATGAGTGTAACAATCACAGTCTCATGTAATTGTTAAGGCATGATGGTGTAACGATATCACGATACTAAATGATGCAACTATTTATTTTATGTAAACACCTGAATGACAAATTGGGTTGATGTCATAATTTTGTATAACTGTTTGGTTTATTCTAACGCATGAGTAACTGTTTGGTATATTGTAAGACAATTGTAACTGATTGATGTAACTGTATTGTNGATGTTGGAAAACTAGGAATTGCATAACATGATTTCATTTAGGGTATTTTGGATGTAGCTATAATTTTTTAGACTTATTTGAGTAAAAATGTATAAATAAGTTGTTTACTCTACCAATTACAATTTTTATAAAAAATTTTGTGTTTAGGTACAAAATTCAAATGAATAAAATTTTTTTTTACCTAAACACCTTCTCTTAAATTATGCAGTCATCATTGACAGTTATTTGATAAAATAAATATGTAAAGATTAAAAATAATAATGAGAGGTAAAATAAGGGCATTAATGATCAAAACCCTTCTACTTTGGAAATAGGATTTTATGGCAATGGAATTTGATTAGAATGTCACAAATTATATAGGAATAAACACTGAGTTTTCTCAAAAGAAAAAAAATAAAGAGAACTGGCCAAGATATTTTGTTAGATATTATGTATTGTTTGTTATTGGGATGTAGCGAAAAAAGATTATTTTTTTATCTTTTTTAATGGGTGTAACTGTTTTTTAATAGGTGTAAATATTTTTTAAATAAGTGTAACTGTTTTTTAATGAGTGTAACAATCACAGTCTCATGTAATTGTTAAGGCATGATGGTGTAACGATATCACGATACTAAATGATGCAACTATTTATTTTATGTAAACACCTGAATGACAAATTGGGTTGATGTCATAATTTTGTATAACTGTTTGGTTTATTCTAACGCATGAGTAACTGTTTGGTATATTGTAAGACAATTGTAACTGATTGATGTAACTGTATTGTTGTAATATTAATATAAATAGAGTAAGAGAAAATAAAGAGAGAAAGAGAGAAATTATTAGGAAAAATATGCCCCTATTTTACCTGTCATTGCTTGATTGTAGCTAAAAGTTTCAATCCATCAGCTATTTACTGAATAATAATATTGTCATTTTTTAAAAATATGTACTTCAGCCCAAATAAAATTTTGTGTTATATTTTTGGNGAGAGAAAACGGGAAAAAAGACAGACATTAAGAAATAACTTTATTTCGCTGACTTGGCACTTATCTAACACTGCCTGACAAATTATTGAGGTGGCATCTTGATCGGTGCTGGGTACCGGTTGTCAATAACAGCCTGGTTACAGAATATTTACTCTCAAGATATGGGCTCAGTCTCTTAATTGCACTGTGGTGTTTTCCGAGGCATCTGATTTCAATTACATATGCCATTTTTATTTATTTCAGAGGAAGATACATTATTTTGGACAAGAGATGTTGGAAAACTAGGAATTGCATAACATGATTTCATTTAGGGTATTTTGGATGTAGCTATAATTTTTTAGACTTATTTGAGTAAAAATGTATAAATAAGTTGTTTACTCTACCAATTACAATTTTTATAAAAAATTTTGTGTTTAGGTACAAAATTCAAATGAATAAAATTTTTTTTTACCTAAACACCTTCTCTTAAATTATGCAGTCATCATTGACAGTTATTTGATAAAATAAATATGTAAAGATTAAAAATAATAATGAGAGGTAAAATAAGGGCATTAATGATCAAAACCCTTCTACTTTGGAAATAGGATTTTATGGCAATGGAATTTGATTAGAATGTCACAAATTATATAGGAATAAACACTGAGTTTTCTCAAAAGAAAAAAAATAAAGAGAACTGGCCAAGATATTTTGTTAGATATTATGTATTGTTTGTTATTGGGATGTAGCGAAAAAAGATTATTTTTTTATCTTTTTTAATGGGTGTAACTGTTTTTTAATAGGTGTAAATATTTTTTAAATAAGTGTAACTGTTTTTTAATGAGTGTAACAATCACAGTCTCATGTAATTGTTAAGGCATGATGGTGTAACGATATCACGATACTAAATGATGCAACTATTTATTTTATGTAAACACCTGAATGACAAATTGGGTTGATGTCATAATTTTGTGTAACTGTTTGGTTTATTCTAACGCATGAGTAACTGTTTGGTATATTGTAAGACAATTGTAACTGATTGATGTAACTGTATTATTGTAATATTAATATAAATAGAGTAAGAGAAAATAAAGAGAGAAAGAGAGAAATTATTAGGAAAAATATGCCCCTATTTTACCTGTCATTGCTTGATTGTAGCTAAAATTTTCAATCCATCAGCTATTTACTGAATGATAATATTGTCATTTTTTAAAAATATGTACTTCAGCCCAAATAAAATTTTGTGTTATATTTTTTGTCAAATAAGTCTAAAAAATTATATTAACTTCCAAATCACCCTTTCATTTACCGGTTATTTTCGTGTATGGAGAGGGTTAGGCCTCACCAAAAAGTCGAAAGCTCAATGGGCTCTCCCCGGCCTGAAGGTCCAACGAGTTAAAGGCTGCTCAGTCCGTACACATGGCAAGGCTTAGCTTCACAGGTAGGGTCTAGGTAGTGTTTTTTAGGGCCACGGGTCCGACAGGCCGACCCGTTAAGAAGCTTGTTAACTCATCCGTTAGTCCTATAGAATATACCCGTTAGAAATAGAATATAACCATTGCTAACATTGTGACAACTTTCATTTCTTTTGAAAAATTATATATTCCACACCCTCTACAGGCTTGACTTTAATTTAAAATAAATATAATTTCCCCCCAAACCCCAACGGCTAATTGTTTTTAGTCTAAAGGTTATTTCCATTTTTAAATAAAATTATAGATTTTCCCCCCTTCTCAAGTCACCAACAGCTAATTATTCATTTAAAAAAATATTCAATCCTCCTTCACCCAAAATGTCGATAAATATGTTTAAGTTTTCCATTATTTCTTTACCACTATTCAATCTATCTTTCTAACTCTCCCTAAAACTTGTCACAAGTCTCAATATCATTGAAGCTTTTTTTTAATTCTTATTATCTAACTCTTTTGATTATAGCTTGCTAATTCGAAGAAGTTGGAGTTACAACATTTGATAGAAGTACTCACACTCAAATCAAATTTCATCTTCTACGATAATATTTCATTATGTTGTGATTAGGTAATATCTTCTTCTTCTTTTTTTCTATATTTCATAGTTATATTTACTTGTGAGTTTAATTGTTTTATTATATATTATTTTTTAAATTAAAAATGGTAACTAGTGATTTTAATGTCACCATTGATGAAAATGAAGAATTCTAATTTTGGGAGTCTACCGGTTCCCCCATGCACATCTTGACACATCCATCCATGCAAGAACACAAACACAACAAACTTTAGTGTCTACAAGTTCTACTTCTAGAACATTACATTCTAATATTTGGAATGATTTTGATAAAGTTAAAATCAAGTTAGATGATGGTAAAATAATAGAAAACAATATATGTAAAAACATGTAAAAAAGAAATGGCAGGTGGTTCTAATGTCGACACTAGCCATTTAAAACATCATCGAGTTGCACACTTGTCTAAGGGCAATGTAGATATTGACCAATATTATCTGATGATGCACAAAAGTGGATTTATGCATCATCTATCGAGTAAT